GCACGCTCGCTGCCCACTGTCATGTCCATTCTTCCTCTTCCAAAGTCCAGTTCAGAGGAGTTACAGTAAGTAAAAAAAAAATGTTTTGTATAATGGGGGAAGGAAGGGGGGCGCGACCACTTCTTGATTTCAGAAAGGGGGCGCAAAAGAAAAAAGTTTGGGAACCACTGCTCTACATGCTCGAGGGAATTATAAATAACTTGATGAAATATGACAGCCTTTTAACTAGAAAAATGGACATTTTGTCACATTTTCAAAAAGCAGATTGAAAAGTGTTTCAGTTAGCTCATGAGCCAGATACGCCAGATCATCTATGAATAGGTGATAGACTATTTTATTCATTAAGTGATTCTCACATAAATACATATATGAAAATAAAATGTATAAAATTTTAGTTTATGAAGTTTTGAAGCACTGCCTTATTTTGAAATAATTGAAATGTCAAACCAGTACGTCATTTAAAACCAAGATTTAAACGGCCCGCCAAATATTAGTTCAATGACTACACCGCTATGGCAGCACCGTCGGAAATGTCACTGGGCGACTACAACAGAAGTGAGCGTTCTATATCAAGAATATAAATCACTTTTCTATGGAGAGCATAACAAGCTCGAAACCGGAGCTTTGGTTAAATACTTGTGTTTTCCAGAGAAATTTTCCAAGAATTCTTTCACTGCCTTTAACATAAAAGGACTGGAAGGAGCATTATTTGGAAAAGAAAATTAACATTCCAAGTATATCCCTAGAATCAAACAAGAATGTTATGTCTAGGATACATATTTAGAATGATATATGTATGTAGATATATTCTAAGAATATTTCAAGCATATTGATATAATATTCTTTTGATAACATAACTTTAATGTCATAGAAACATTCTTTGAATATGAGAATATACATTTCGACCATATTTTTAGAATCAAACAGGAATATTCTTTTCAGGATATACTGAGAATCTCATAGGTATATTCTAGGAATATCCTAATGGATTTCCCAGGAAGTTCTTGGGTATTGCAAACAGTATTTCTACAATTCTTCTTAATACATTCTAAGGATGCAATTTTGTTATATGGGTTGAGTTATAAAATTACAACGAAAAGTGGCATTAATTTTTATATATATAGATTATTATTTAGGCATTTAGTAAGTAAGATTTGTTCTTTAATAATCATTAATTAGGATATATTTTTTTTTCAAATTCTCATCTTTCAGCCATCGCGACTGATAAACATTATTTTTCTTTATAAAAAAATGTTCCAAAATAGGGGGAAGGTATGTAGTGTTTTCCTCATACTATTTTTGTAATGAAATGAATCATTTGTATTATTTTAATAAAGACATTTATTTTATATCAGGTATCCTCTATCCTAAATAATGGTTCGGTTCGGCATCAAAGAAAGGTATAAATTTATTATATTGTCTAGACCTTTTCCAGCAAGAAGGATGTGAATTGTTAGCAAAAAGTCTTTGTTAGTATTAAATTGTAAACCCTGCAGACTTTATGTGAGCAAAAAATACTGTTTGTAATTATTTTAAATAAAATAAACATTGTACATCATAAACACCCAAACCTTCCAAGTATCCCGAAGGACAATTCTTTGAGATATGTCGCCGACATTTATTGAGGGTTTTTCTTAGATTAAGTGGGTAATAGATTTTTTCTACTGACATTTCATAATACGCTATTAAAGGATTAAAATCTGTATCATAATGAACTTCATTACGATACAGATTTTCATTATAATACTCATTTTTAATATTATACAATGTTGATAGATGGCAGCACTAGTCAAGATATTAAACATTTTAAATGGTAATTTTGCATAAAACAATTATTTTGATAACTATAAGAAAGACTCCGAATTATTTGAAAGTTACCTAAAGTTTGGGACAAAGAATAATTATTATGGAAATAATGAAGGAAATAAGGAAGAATTTTTACTTTTTTCATTATTGTACATTGTCAATAAATGGCGCCATCAGTTAAAAAAATTTGATTTTTTTTTTTTTGAATGTTGGCAGCACTCTGTTTATAGCTTTTCCATGGTAATTTAGCGAAAAACGATAATTTTATAAACAAAAATACCTCAAATTGTTATTAAAAGTTAATACCTTAAGTTTGGCCAGTTTGGGAGAAGGCATTATTATAGAAATATTGAGCGATAACGAAGAATTTTCACTAACACCTCCAGAAATTACAGAAAGGGCGACAAATGCAGGTAATAATATACTACCGGACAAGTCCAAGAAAATTTGCGAAAAATTATATGGACAATTTATGGATTGGAAACACCAAAAACACATCGTCCTTCTCAGAAAATGTTTTGATAGTATATTTTGAAGAATTACAACAAAAAATGAAACCTTCAATTGTATGGACGCATTACTCAATTATAAAATCTCTATTCAAAGTTAAGCATAATGTTGACATATCTAAATATCATCAAGTTTTATCAATGGCAGTAGAAAAAATAGTGTATGCAACTCTCATGTAATGGCCATTAATACACTCGCATGTTATATACGAAACTCGCCTGCGGCTCGTTTCGTATCCTACAACATGCTCGTGTATTAATGGCTATCATTACATGATCATTGCATAATATACTATTCTGGTTATCGAACATGCCCTAACGATCCTCAAAAAAAGTTTTTTGGAAAAAAGAATAATTAAGAATTTTCCCATATGTGCCCAACTTTATGGCGCACACTGTATCTATATGTATGTATGTATAAGAATTTGAAGATTTTTAGATTTCCATTTTAACATTTCATATGTGTATATATAGGTTTACTTAAGTTTTTGGTCAGTAGTAGATACCATATTAATTATCAATTATTGTAGATATGGAACAACAGGGGCTGGTCTAGATAGCTCCTAACAAATAAAAATTACAACTTATGAATGGATAATCGTGACAACTTTCTTGATCTGACAGGATCAAAAGTTGTATTTTTACTGCCTAGGCAGTAAAAGTGGACTTTTACTGCCTAGACATTAAAAGTGACAGTGTCACAACGTTCCAGGTAATAATTTCACTCAAGTTGGTATTGGAAATTGATGGTGACAATGACAATTGTCAAAATAATTTAATTATTTGGATAATAATAATGAATGAAATAATTATGAAAAAGATGTGAATTTGAACATTCGGAGAAAAAATTATATGTTTTACATGGCAGAAAAGCAAATTTAATGCCTCGGCTGGTTTTCTAGCCTCAGCTATGCCTCGGCTATGAAACACCAGCCGCGGCATTAAATCTTGTACTTTTCTGCCTAGTAAAACAAATAACTATTTTTACTTCTCCGTTATGCTAAATTTTAATAAGAAAATCATAAAAATCCTATTCCTGGTTCTTCTTAAGAAACAAACTCTCATTTCCAAAAATCCTAGAGTTGAATATTGGGCTCACTTTTAAGCTTTCTTGAGATTAAATAGACTGAAAAGGCTTTGGAAAGAATTGATCATATTTTAGTAGACAAGCAGATGATACCTAATATTACGAGTCATACTGACGATGACATACAACCACAGAACATATCACCTCTAGAAAAGTATCTGCAATGTTATGTACCGGTTATGAATTACGGCGCCATCGTTGACTGAAAACCTAACTAATCGAGCATTCTTGACAAAAAGGCGAATTGATTTTTTTCATATATTTTTATTATATTTAAATAATTTTTAATGTTCAACTGCGTTTGGCTTGCTGACTCCTTTTAGCTCTTTTCGCCTCATTTTTTTTGAAAACTATGACTGGCAGGAAGTTTCCGATGTCGAACATAGTGCAAAAAGAGTTAGTAAGTTAGCAAGAGACACGCAGCTATAGGTAGATCGCAAAGTAAATAAAGTCCATTCCAAAATAATTCGTTGACTCTTCAAGTATCAATAAAATGTTGATGATACCCTCAACCACAAACTTCGACTACCTGTGAGCAGGTCCGGGTTGATTTTATTTATTATACCTGCCTAGGTGAGATGTACATGTAAATGTGGGTGAATGTTTTAGTTAAATTATTTAGTCTTTGTGCAGAACTAGAGCTGTTATATTGACAAAAAAAATGTGGCGTCCATGGGCAAATGATGGTAGTATTGCAACCGGAAGTGGTATTTCAAAAAAAAAAACATTTATCGCTAGATGCCAAGGAAATTGTGAGGAACGTTTATTTAACCCTTCTGCAGAGAGGCTATAATCATAATCAAAGTGTGAGTGAATCATCCGTTTTAACCAAAACTCCATTATCTACGGTTAAAGATATCGTAGCCAAACGCATCCAGCCAAGGAAGCAACGGTGTGACAGCGGCAAGTCAAGAAAGGTTGAAGAAGCGGATAAAGAGTTGATTCGTAGGAAAATTTATGATTTGTACAGTAAACAAATAATACCTACAATAGATTCTCTAAAAAAGGTACTTATAGAAGACGAAACTGATATATTATGTAGCAGAACAAGCCTTTGGAGAATTGTGAAAGCAATGGGTTTCAAATATCAAACCAGTAATAAGAGGCAAGTGCTAATGGAATCCCAGCGATTACAAGCATGGCGTCGAGAATATTTAAGTTCCATAAAACAATATAGGGCAGAAAATCGTCCGATAATATATCTTGACGAAACATGGTTTGATACCCATGACACTCCCAAAAGAGGATGGAGCGACTCAACCTCCAAATGTCAAACCAAAGCACCCTCAAATAAAGGCCAGAGGATTACAATTTTGCATGCCGGATCAGAAAATGGTTTTGTTCCAAACTCTCTGCTGCTATCCGCAAAAAAATAGCCAATTCATCATTAGATTATCATCAAGATACCGATGCAAAATTATTTGAAGAATGGTTTCAGAATCGCCTTCTTCCGAACATACCAGAAAACAGTATAATTGTGATGGACAACGCTAGTTACCACAGCCGTCGTTTTCATTATAATGGGCACAAAATCCGTACCTGTAAACCTTTGAGTGGGTATTAAGGAACCCGGTACCTACATAAAAGAACCTGGTACCTACACAATAGAGGCTAATAGCTATCTAATTTATGGTAGGGTTTTATAGCCGTGAAGTCAACGAAATATTTTGGAATGGACTTTACGAATTATAAATACAAATACGAACGAAACGAAACAAACGAGTAAATACAAAAAAATACGAACAAAAATTAGGGTTTTTTTCAACCAAAAATTTTTGAATTTTCACTTTAACGCGCGTCGGGACCATGGTTTACAACAACACAATTTAAAAATTCAAATTTTGACTTTTAAAATGACAAAATAAATGACAAAACCAACCAACCAACACAAATCACTGTCCACACCACAGATACCTGTAAATTTCTCTTATAGTCCAGGAGGTGGCGCCAAAAACATGCAAGAGTTTTCGCAAGGCGGATATTTTCAAAATAGGTCGTACTTTAGTGCTAGAATGCTAGTGTACAGTCAGCACTCACAGTTCCGGGACAGCTGGCTCTGGGACGCAGGCAAAGTTGTAATTTTAAGAACCATCTAAACTGTTTTCTCAAAGCTCAAAATTTATAGAAATTTTGCACATTATCTGTTTAAAGGTCACAGATAACGTATGTAAATCGTCAGACGTCTAGTTCGTTGCAAAAGGGGGTCAGACGTCCTCAAAGTTTTTATTTTATGGCATTTTCTTCGGTGTCCTGTCAAAATATATTTTTGCAGGTATTTGACAAATATATTTGAAGAAAATGCCATAAAATAAAAACTTTGAGGACGTCTGGCCCCCTTTTTGCAACGAACTAGACGTCTGACGATTTACATACGTTATCTGTGACCTTTAAACAGATAATGTGCAAAATTTCTATAAATTTTGAGCTTTGAGAAAACAGTTTAGATGCTTCTTAAAATTACAACTTTGCCCGCGTCCCAGAGCCAGCTGTCCCGGAACTGTGAGTGCTGACTGTACACTAGCATTCTAGCACTAAAGTACGACCTATTTTGAAAATATCCGCCTTGCGAAAACTCTTGCATGTTTTTGACGCCAGCTCCCCAACTATTATGCATACAACTTGTTTAGTTTGAAGTGGTATTTTTGTCAATTTTTAATCAATAATAATCCTACTTATACTAAGTATGTATACTGATTAGAATGTCAACAAAAGATTAATAGTAAATTGAAATAAAGTATTTAGTTGTAAGATAGCCATGCAATAAGCAAACAAATATGTAGGTACCTACCTACTGTACATACACGCAATGATGATAATAACCTATCCTCAAGCAATTTATTGTTATTACGTAACAAATAATCACTAGTTTATTAGTATAGGAAAACAACACATCAGTTTTATTAGTTCAAGAGAACGTTTGATTGCGGTTATATTGTTAATAAAATTTAAAATGGACACAAACGAAAAAATTGATCAGTGGGTTCGTGATGCTTTCAAACACGAAAATTTTAAAGAAATCAAAGTAACGATAACAGGTTTCTCAGAAAAAGGTGACGGATATGTTGGCGACATAGCTTTTGCCAAAGCTAATGTGATTACAAGTGATGGCGAAACCAAGAATTTGGAATTGGTTATAAAATATGGTAAATTAAATGATAGTCTTCGTGAAGCGTTGCCAGTTAGACTGGCATTTGAAAGAGAAATTTACGTTTATGGTAAAGTAGTACCGCAACTGCAAAAATTTCTGGATGAAAAGAAAGTGAAATTATTGTGCCAATTTCTTCCCAAATGTTACGGCACCTTATTATACGACAAAGAAGAAGTAATTGTTTTAGAAAATTTAAAAGCTCAGTATTATGATTTGCATGACAGATACCAACCTTTGAATATTAACCATTTAAAGTTAACGCTTGAAATGTACGGAAAATGGCACGCTCTGAGTTTTGCTTATCAAGATCAGAATCCTGAAAAGGCTAGAATACTATTTGAAAATTTACAAGACATAATGCGGACCTTTTTGGAGTCAATTGATAACTGTTTGGTTGATGTACAAGAAATTTTATATACAATTTTGCAGCAAAAAAATGAAGTAGAGCTAATTGAAGGCATGAAAAAACGGAATCCTAATTTTAAAACAACATTTTACGACTTATCGGAAATGGAAAATGAAAAAAGCGTTTTTTTACATGGAGATTGTTGGAATAGCAATTTTATGTTTAAATATGTAAGTATTTATTAAAATATAATATTTAATTATAAAATAAGGATTTCTTTTTGCTCGCTCATCTCTCAAAAGTCACATTCAAAAGAATTTGAAGCTTCACAGCTACAAAACTATTGAAACCATATGTGGACAATTTAACTGGCATTAATTTAAGACCAAATTACATTCCGAACGGATCGAAATTAACAAAGTTGTGTCATTCAAATGTGAGTAAATCGTAAAATGAAATATTAGATTTTTTTTTACCTGCTCTTTTTGATTTTTTGACTTTAAAGCGTGAAACTATTAAGAAAAAATAATTTGTTTAATTCAATTTGGATTATTACTAAGAGCACTTTTTAATTTCAATTATTTTTAATACCTATATTTTAGGGTTCCGACAAATCTTAACCACAAGCTGTCAAGTTTCTAGACTTTCAAGTATCCAATTTTAAACCTCCAGTATTCGACTTGGCCTACCATCTCTATTCAGTGGCATCAGAAAAAGAATTACAGCATTTTGATGAATTATTGAAAATCTACCACGATTCCTTATCGAAAAGTTTAAAAGATTTGGGAAGTGACGCAGATTTAATATATTCATATGAAGATCTGAAACAGCAATGGAAGAAATTCTCGATATATGGAGTTATGATGGCATCGATGGGTTTGCCAATAATAATGGCATCGAAAGAAGATACATTGAATCTTGAAGATATAAAGGAGACCTCTCAGATGATGAAAACCGCTAAGAAAACTTTGTTGACAAATGGTGATAAGTTGACTTCCAGGATTATAGCATTTACAAAACATTATTTAGATTTTCTTGATAAATACCAATAAAAAATGGAATTTTCCTACAAAACTCATTATACCTAATAATTATCTTTTCAATCTTTATTATCTAACTGAATAACAATAATAGTTTAATCAATGTCTATATCTATGTATAACTTTTTGATTTATTTATTGTTTTATAAACAAAATTGTCTTAGAGTTGGCAATAATCGACATTAAAATAATAATCACAAAATGTGTGAAATGTTGCTAAAAGCTTAGTTATTCATCACTAATAACTGTATGGAAGTTATACTTTAAGATTCCCAAACCCATCTCCATCAGTCAACAGATTTTAAAAAAAAATCAAAAAAATGAGAAGGGGAGACAATTCTATAACCTATATATCCTTTTACAGGCCAAGGGACTCATATTTTAGATGGAAAGGAAAAAAGTACTTAACCTATTTACGATTCATTTAAATTAAAAATTAACTTTTTCTGATTCATTTATGTTCTATACAATCCTACTAGATTTCCAGTGTGAAAATTTCAATTCCTCAAATCCTTGCCTGATAAATTATTGCGAACGTAAAGTTGACCAGTAGAAGAGCCTAATTCCTTTTCAAAAGTGGGTAAAACTGAAATCTTTCTATCATTAATTGGGTTTCAAACTGACTAAAACAGATGAGAGAATTTTTTCTACTTCTATGCTAAAATAAAAGACTTTATGTTATCATTCTCCAATATTTATATCAATATTTCGAGCATGAGGTTGCATACAATTCACAGTATAAGATAAAAAGTGCACGTCTTGCAGCATCTGTGTGAGTCTTTTGAAATGCCTCTCGGTATATGGAAGCATTCCCTCAGTTAATTTACTTAATCCTATAGGCCTATAAATAATAAAATGTTGAAAATTTAAATTTAATATTTAATATAACTGTTACCTAAATTCTCCTGTCTGAAGTTCATTTATTAAAATATTCAAAACAAGTTGTGCTGGTTGACAATGACGGCTATTTGTATTCCAATTAAGTGCACAATTTAAAAGGCTTTCTTTTTGGTCATTTCTAAGAAGCTTAACTGTATCTACCAGACCTATAACAATATAATTTATTTTATCTTTAATTCTCTAATTGGGATTACAATTATTGTATTCACATTAATTTATCGGTGGTTATAGTAGTATCAAAGTAGACAGTATAAAATTTGATAATAATTTGTTTTGAAAGCTTCCAATTTTCATGCGAAACGGAAAACTCTATAAGAAAGTAGACCTGTATGAAAATTTGGAAATTAACAACATATAGGTAAAAGACATCATATAAAAAGTTTTCGGTGAATAAAGTGAAATTAATGTCATCAACATGATACAAAATTAGACAAAAACTATGATTGATAAATACCTGTATCTCCTTTCTTAATAATTCCTTGAACAATTTTCAAAGTTTGCAAAGGTCTTTCCAGTCTCAGAGCCAACTTAAGCGCCTTCAATAGTTGATTACTCTGAATATAATTGCTAAGCTTTTGCTCCTGCAAAACCAACTCCTCCATTTCCTTTTGTTGTTGCTGCTTTTTCTCTTCCGTTACGTCTTTCCATTTGATTAAATATGAATCACTGCCTCCGGTTAGAAAGCCTAGCGATTTTTTTTGTAAAGTTTAAAGTCAGTTTTTGTAGAATTGAATTGTCTTACCTGATTCGTCACTTTTGATGGCCATCGCCCAAATCCTGCCCTCGTGCTGGTCCATTGTGTATTGGCATTCGGAATTTTTCAAATTGAATAGTTTGATTAGGCCGTCTGCGCCAGCACTTAAAATTTGCATTCCCTAAAATAATTAAGACAGTTTTTGATTTGAAAATTATGGAAAAAAATAGGAATTATTGTATTTTTCGTTACATAATATGAGAGAAATATTACGAACAATAAGTCTTTAGAAAACATTTGAAAAAAAGTGTAATTATGATTTTTGTATGATTGTTGGTGTTTGGTCTTATTTAATGTATTGAAATTCTGTATATTTTATTTATAGCTTACCTTCGATATAAATTCAGCTTTTAAAACACTAGATTCGTGACCTTCCAACGTTTTCAAACAACTAAGATTGGCCACCGACCACAATTTAATGGTACAATCGGCAGACGATGTAACAACCACCTGGTCAACTGGTGAGAACCTAAAATAATTGGAAATATAATACTTTTTCAGGGGCTAGACAGAAAATCAAATAAGAGCCATTTGGATTTGTCCTATCTTGATGTAATTAGACTCAAATTAAAGCCAATTAAATTCTCTACAAATCTGTGGCGAGAAGTCTTAATAAGGCTTTAGCAGTTTTGCTGATGCAAAGCTAAAAGTCTTTAGAGTTTGATTTTCATCAAAGTGAAAGACCAGAAGGAAATTTTTATTATTTTTTCTCAATTATTTTAACCTTTTCTCATCCTTCCTGAAATATATTTCAATTCAATCTCTCAATTATTTTTCTTGAAAAAAAAAATAAAACATCCCTTGTCGCATTTTGGAAGTTCGATTTTATCCAAAATGACATCAACACATATTTTGCCTCACTTCTTTTTTAATTTGAATCCTATCTTGTCGTAATTAGGCTTAAATTAAAGCTGATAAAATTCTCTATAAATATGTGGAGAGAAGCATCGGTTATTGCCTAACCTATCCCTCCTATCTTGGAGGCTTGCTTCCCAAATGATTTTACTAAAATGAGAATCTACCCCGTGTGATACCTCCTTTGAAAGGTTTTTTATTCCCCTTCAGAAGCGTGACCATTTCATTCCAGCTAGGTACAATATATGTACATAGAACATGATCACTTGACACGTCTCTTAAGCTAGAAGAGCAAAGTCAGCAGAATCAAAAATCAATACATGGAACATTAAAGGCTCATTAAAGGCTAATTAAGTGCCCTAATGAGAAATTTTGGGCTCCTTGAATTTTCGTGAAAATGACTGTTCTGCTAAAATCTGTTTTTTTTTTTAAAGATAAAAGTCAAAATGACATAATGTTGGCAATACAATGTAAAATTGTCAATGCTTTCAAATTTTTTATGTAGAAAAGGCTTGTGTTGCCAACATAGTTAATGTCCAATAAACACCATTTTAAAGTCACGTGATTTTTCTCTATCCTTGTTGAATACATCTCAAACAGCGGTGATAGCAAAATTCACAAAAAAAATGGTGTCTAATTATTGTTCATAATATTCTTACCTGAAATAGAATCCGTCACTGTCATCAATTAGTTTGTCAAAGAAATTTTGGAAAATGATACAACGAACAAACACAGCTAATAATTTTGACTAGATTAACCTTTTTCCAACTCGAAAAGAAGCAAATAGAAATCGGGTACCCAATTCAAGTTCAGAATGTATTACAATGGACAGCAGATGCGACAAAAGTGAGTCTCACAACAATTGCAAGTAATGAAATTCCCATCTGATTGATCAATACTACTTCAGAAACGCGTTTGTAAAATGCTATTGGGAACATATCTTAAAATTCAATAGTAATTGTAATTAACCACTAGTAGCTTTTTGTAGGTGATATCAACGACATAATCAATGGACATACGTTTTTTGCCACCAATATCACGTGACTTTAAAATGGTATTTGTCGGATTATTCCACTCATGTGTTAGAAATCCCATAAGACAAGTGACGATTTTCAGAATTACAGCGAAAATTCTCTTTTCCATTTGTTTAACTAGAGAGAATTACAGCGAAAATTCTCCCATGTTATTGTATACATGGTTGTCATGCTAATTTTTGTTACAAACAAACGGTTCCTGATAGCAACCATTTATTTGTATTGATTATTAAGATGTTTAAATCGTTTAATACATATTTATTTCCATATTTTTTGCATTCTCATACGTGAAATAATCCTCTAAATACCACTTGAGCTTTAAAATGAACCAGATAATTTTGAAGCTCTCGTGGTATTATCCCCGACTATACTAAATTTTTGACTTGGGGAATTATCTTTAAAAAAAAAACTTTAGCTTTAACTTAAGCTAGCAGAACATGAGCGAAAAAGTGGCTAAAACAACGAACATTGCAATTCCAATTGCACAGGCATTAAAAGTTAATTAAAGGCTCTCGAAATACATAACACCAATCCCAAATTTCAGGCTCAATTACTTTTTTTTGTGAAAATGCAAAAAGCGCGATGCGTGACTGATGTCGGCCAAGCATGGCAGAAAAACCTCTCAGACGGTGAAAATCAGTGTTTCGGTAGTGCAGTCGTAGTGAATACATTAAAGGCTAATTAAATGCTGTTATGAGTAATTTTAGGCTCTGCTAGTTTCCGCGAAAAAGTGGTCAAAATAACGAAAATCGCAATTCCACTTGCACAGACATTGAAGGCTCATTAAAGGCTCCGGAAATGCACCAATCGCGAATTTCAGGCTCAATAGACCTATCTATTTTTACCTGGTATGCGCGCGCAACACGAGACAATAGGCCTGTTCGCACAGCAATCACAAACCAGTCAGAGCGAATTTCATTGGTTGAAAACAATCAGAAACAGACAGAAAACTATTTTCAACCAATGAGATTCACTCTGACTGGTTTGTGATTTGTCTACGACCAGGCCTAATGTCTTCTCATTGGCTAACTAATACAGGTGTGAGATGTTCGTTTTGCACGCTGGGCATCTCTTTGTCCTTGTTCATTGCCCGTGGTTTAACAAGAATAAAAGAACGGTTGATATTCAACTTACATTCAAAATTTGTTTGAAATTTTCATTGACAAATACGTTGCACAACTCGCGGTCTTTTTCCTTCCCTTTTTACACCGTGTAAATAAGAAGGACGGATTGTTATACGTAAGTCTAACATAATTTGGTACGTTTTGCTTCGTCTTGCGCAATGGGCGTTCAGTGCCTTTTTTTATCTAATGAAGTTTTCGTATTATTACATCTTTGTCTGGTAAAATAGATAGGTCTATTACTTCTGTGATTTAGTGAAATTGGAAAGGTCTGATTTAAATTGCAAAGTACCCAAACTAACCTGGTTATTATTGGTAACTTTATAGAAATGTCTGAAATTCGCGATTGGTGTATTTCCAGAGCCTTTAATGAGCCTTGAATGTCTGTGCAAGTGGAATTGCAATTTCTGTCGTTTGGCCACTTTTTTGCTCAGGTTCAGGTTAAAGCCAGGAGAATAGCCATTTTCGCGAAAACTAGCAGAGCCTAAAATTTCTCATTACAGCATTTAATTAGCCTTTGATGTATTCACAACGACTCCGCTATTGGAACACTGATTTTCACTGTCTGGCAGGTCTGTCTGGCACTGTTTCTACCAGACCCAGATTGATAAGAATGATAAGATTGATATTACAAAAAAAAAAAAACTTTAAAGCAGAAATACTTATCTGCAATTCAGGAAGATGAAGAATCAGACGAATAATTTTAAGTTGATGTATCACCTTTGTTTGTTGTAACTTGAAGTTAACTTTTTGAATTACATGTATTTTCAGAAGTTAACTTTAAGTTAACTCTCAAAGTAGTTTTATAATACCCGCCCTTAGTGCAAAACAATTATCATTTTTTTATGTAGGTACCCACTTTATACTTAGGGCGCTTTCTTTTATTCAGCGGTGGATCCATCGGTAATCAGCCTTTCTTTGTCTAGCTCATAGAAAATTGGATTGTCTGTCTCATAATGCTGGCAGCAGATGGATCCATTGCTGAATAAAAGAACGCGCCCTTATTATGTATCAGAAAATATGTACTGGTATTACTATGTAGATATGTATATAACTTTTCAATCGATCCACTCTGACCAAATATACGTCCAATTCAGCGACGTCAAATGGACGCTTCATAGACGTCTTTTAACAGAGTATTTTTTCTGAATGGGTCATATTGGGTTTTACATGGTAACTTTTGAACCTCTTGGTTCATGTCATGGTCAAATAAACGTCCACTACGTGATGTCCCAAACAAGTGATATTTTGCAACCTTTTTCTGACATCGAATTTTGGTTAATCGACGTAAATCTATTTAAAATCGACGTCATAACGACTAACCTTTGTTGCTTAGGATGTTTGTTGGAATAGGAAAAAGGCCCTGCTAGAAAACATCCACCAGCATTTTAAATGTTTGAATGGATTTGGATCAGACGACTTTTTTGCAGATATGTTTTTGTATTAAAATTGTATTCGCTAACATCCAGTTTTTTCCATATTATTATAAATTTTCTCGTAACTATCTGCAAGATAAATTTACAGATCTATGATCCTGTTGGTCACTGAATAATTGGTTGACCAAATGGGATTACATATTTTGTTTTTATCCATCAGATTGCATTATCTGACAATTCGTTAGAAAATGAATAAACTGGCTTTAATCTGTATCAAGAGGGTCTTGGAGAGCGGGAATAGACAAAAATTTGAGAATTGAAAGGCAGACATTAAGGGAAAATGGAGTAGAAAACTAGACTCAAGTACCTATATGTTGTTTCTATTCCAGGCTCTTGAATTTTCTACTTTTCCTTTTAACAACCCTTATAAAAAAAAAAAAAAGATTTCCAACAATCTTTAAATTCACAATTATTAAAGAATTGAATATTTGTTTGTTATTTCCAAAGTAAAAATGTAGCAAAATCTAATCTGCGAACTATTTTTTCTGGTAAACCATCAAAACTAGACAGTTCTGTACATAAAAATAAATTTTAAAAAATTACCTGACACTCCAAACTCCTCTCTTATGACCTTTGAGTATTCCCACAAGTTCAAGATTATCGCCAGTCCACAATTTGACGGTTTTGTCCTGTGACGCGCTAGCAACAATCTTATCATTAGGACTAACAGCCACACAATTAATATCCTTTTGATGGGCAATCACTGTTTGTTTGCAATTTAGATTTATCTTTTCAACATTTTGTATTTTTTGTAATTGACTATCAGGCAATTCCCATAGTTTTAGACAAGTATCTTGACTGGCAGAAACGAAATGCGATCGATTAGTTGAGAAAAAGCAAACGGATCCTACTGAGCTTGTATGTCTGTTGCCAACTGCGATACAACTAAAATTTAACAAAATTAATTAGCTAGTTTATATTATAAGCAACATTCAAGGTCACTAACCTGACTATTGCATTTTCCAATTTCCACACTTGTACGCTATTATCCTTTCCAGAAGAGACCATAAGATCTCTGTCTGCAGGACAGACATTCAACGAAAGTACCAGATCTTGGTGTCCTTTCAAAAGCTGACAATTCATGGAGTCATTATTGTACAGTTTTATGTCAGCAGAATTGGTCGCCACCGCTATATGACTGTCATCTTTGCCGAAGAAAACGACGTCGAGAATTTCGTCAGAAAAACCTAAAAATAATAGGATGATGTGGTTGCATGAAGAAATACACAAAAAAAAAATAACAACTACAGGCCAAATAAATCAACTTACTCACCTATAAATTGTTTGGTACAGACAAACGATTTCAAATGATGAATCACTATGTTATGATCGACGGTAACTACTGCCAGACTTTTCGATTTTTGGTTGTACATCAAATGGGTAACAGCCAAACCTCCTTCCTCTGTGGCCTTGGAAACCAACGAGTTCGATTGGACAAAAACTTCTTTGGACTTTTCAACATCCCACACTCTTACTATCCCTAAAATAAAATTTATATACTGAGACAACAATTTGATATTGATGTAAAAATGAGAAAAACTCTATTTTTTATGCAAATGAGAGGACAGTTATACTACCATTATGATATGGATGTGTTGAAAATAAAAATTATTATCCAAATATATAAATTACCATTTTCTCCAGCTGAAGCAGCATAGATCCCTCCAACTTCTGGTTTAAATCCTGGCAACTTGAATTTTATCGGTAAACTAACAATTACCTCAATTGCTTCATATACGGCGATAGTTTTCAAAGGAGCGCTTTTATTGAATTGCCACAGTACAATCACTTTATCTCTTCCGCACGACATAAAGTGCTTTTTGTCGTGTGAAAATGTTATTGAGGAGACTTTGCTAAAGTGAGCATCATGAACCGTAATTAATTCACCTTTTTCTGGAAATATTGAAAAAAGTAATCAATAAAGTAGAGGACAAATATCATTTAAATAAATCTGGTGAAAACAAACAACACTCACCCAATTCATAACAATTAATTTTTCCATCATCTGCTGATGCAAACAAAGTATTATCATCTGGATGATATTCAACTAGATTGACAACACCCTGGCAACCTAAAAGTTAAAGTAGCATTTGTGTTTTATAAAATCCAATATTTTATGGTCTATAACCTTACCTTTAAGACTTAATAAACATGCCTGAAACTGTAAATCCCATATCCTAACTATGCTATCAGACCCGCCTGATGCTAGCCTATTTCCATTTAGTTTTAGTTTGGCAACTGGGCCTTTGTGAATGTATTTCCACATCTTTTCTAACTTTCCGGATTGATCCCATAGCTAGAAAACATCACAAAAACAATTGTTGAGGGTCTCCTGTAATATACAACTCTAACAATATACCTTCAAAAGACCACTTCTATGAGAAGAAACAAATTTATTTCCATCTGTAGTGAATGTCTGAATAGTGTCAACTTCTTCAGATTCGTTACCATCTCCTATACTTTGTGCTACTAAGCCGGTTTCGACATTTAACAGGTTAATACTGGACTCTGTCTGACAATAAAGAGTGTCTTCGTACCATTGAATATTTCCTCCTGTGTAAAAAGCTCCATGTTTGGACGCAACATCGAATCTGGATTTAAAAAAGAAAATACAATGATTTTTTTTTAAAGCAAGAGAAATTAGGGTTGAACAATTTAGCAAAACGGGTAGAAACCTCTTTTTAATAAAATTAAGAATCATGGGGCTTATAGGAGTGTTAATAAAATATAATTAAGTCGTATCTTGTAGGCAGGAAACAGTATGTGAAATCAGGAGACAAGAAAAGTACAATATTATTTAATACCTTTGGGGTACCAGGGGTCAGTTTAAAGCCCACTTCTGTACTCTCTGTATGTTTTTAATCTCAAATTTGATAATTTAAAGGAAATATATTTTATATACTTTGATGATACAGCATTATTTATTTATTTATTTATTCAAAACATTAGAAACTTCAAATTGGTTATTACATGTAAAGTACACTTACAAACTAGGAACTTAAAAAAACTAGCGAAAAAACAGATTCCAGTAAAAAACTGTCTTCAGATAGAGTCTGTTCAGAGATCTAGCAAAAGTTATAAAATGCAATAAATCATCTTCCTGTCTGTTCTGCCACCTGCTTATAACCCTTGCCTTATAGTGGAGAAAGCAAAGGGACCAATAATTTATAGCAGTCCCGTTCATTACCGTATTCGATGTTGTCTTAATTGCGGCAATATTTGTTGAGATTTTTTTGGTTTTGCTAATGGTGATTTGTATTGTGAAAGATTTGCAGATTTCTCGGACACTAAATAACATTAACCGGCGGGTGAAATTCCGACGGGAACGTACCTTTCAGCATTACCTACCTTAGAATAAGGTAAGGTTTTAAATCTTCCATGAAATTTCGAAGGTATTTTTTTTTAAAACAGAATGAAATTGAATATTAATTATGCCGCTCCTACCTGATTACTTTACCATAAACTTTCTGCATTTATGTTATGTAAAAAAGTGAGTTTCCAATTTTAATTTTGAATAAATAAGCAGAGCATTCGGCCAGTACAACCATATAAAACCTACCCGTCTGAGTCACTATCTACCTTTTGTGTAAACTTTACTTTTGCTGGGTTTCGAAGTTTCGGCTCTTGTGTAAGGGGAATTAGCACGGGCGGCAAGAGGCAGATGATTTATTGGATTTTATGGCTTTTGCTAGATCTCTGAACAAACTATTCTAGGCCTTCTGTTCCCAACAAACAGATCAGAAGTCTGAGCAAGATAACTAAACAGACACTGATTAATGATTACCTAACTTTAGGCAATTTATAAGTAGTTTCAGTGGACTATTGAACATGTCAATGTCATTCTTCAATAGAAATTCATTACTTTGTAGCATTTTATTTATAGGGGATAAATTTTTTCTCTGATGTGCAAAGACATCCTTATTTAGAATTCGCATATTCACTTTCGGTACTTAAAATTTATTAAATTCTATGAGATTGAACTCTCTGTACTTTAAATTGGCTCCGTCAAGTTAGTCCCCCTCACATTCGAATTTTCTAACAAAATTGCAACCACTTACTGGGTTCGAAGTGTCCTTTACTGTGCCGATGATATTTTGAATTTTGAACTGTGCCGTTTCGATACCAGTATTACAGGAAAAAAAAAAGAAGAGGGACTAATCTGACGCTCAGCTTCACCAAAATTTTGGAAATCAGATCAAACAAAAATGGATTCTTATGCTATCTACAGTGTGCTAAATTGTCCTGTATCAGGCTTTTCTCGAGATTTCCATTTTCGGTCATTTTCCAACAAAATCCTACTGCTGGGGGGCTAACTTGACGCTCAGCCCCCCAAAAATTCTGGAAATCAGATCAAACAAAAATGGATTCCTATTCAATCTGAAGTGTGTTGAACTGTGCTCCATCAGGTTTTTCTCAAAACTTCTACATTCAGTCATTTTCCGACAAAATCCTACTGAAGGGCTAACTTGACGCTCAGCCCCCCCAAAATTTTGGAAATCAGATCAAACAAAAATGGATTCCTATTCAATCTGAATTCTGAAGTGTGCTGTATCAGGTTTTTTTCTAAAAATTTCCATATTCGAGCACTTTCCGACTAAAACCTTATGAGAAGTTAACTTAATGCAGAGCCCCCCAAAAATTTGGAAATCAGATCAAACAGAAATCGATTCCTATTAAATCTGAAGTGTGCCGAACTGTGCCATATCAGGTTTTTTTAACTTTAAATTTTTGGCCATTTTCCGATAAAAACCTAATGGATGGCTAATATAAATTAACGCTCCGCTCTTGAATAAATTTAAAAAAATTTATTAACATTTGGTACACCAATATTACGTTTTATTATTATCTCACAATACAAAAATACGAATATAAAACAAAAAAATTATAAAATAAAAACATATAAAAATACGTAAATACGATTGTGTGAAAAACAAGAAAAAACGAAAATGTAAGAAGGCAAATATACAGTGAAATCCATTCGCAAAAATAGTGTGGTACTGGTGTGGCACTCACACTCACTCCGAGCGATTAAAAATTTGCACTGGTGCACATTGGATAAGAATCTATTTTTGTTTGATTTAATTCCAATAATTTTTGGCGGGCTGAGCGTCAAGTTAGCCCCCCCAGTAGGATTTTGTCAAAAAAGGCCGAATATGGAAATTTTAAGATCTTAATCTTAATCTTAAGAACATCTCCTGGACCTTTTCAATTAGGTCGCTGCCTACAGACGTCACAGGTGCCCACACGTTGGTAGCGTATTCCAAGTGAGGGCGTACAAGATAATTATATGACTTCACGATTGTGGGGATCTCAAATTTTTTTCCATTACATATAACAAAACCTCATGCTTAAAATGCCCTATTCACGCGACATTGATAAGGGTTGTTGAATTTGAAGTTTCCCTGATACCTAAGTCCCAAGTCTGTTGTTTCGAATTTCTTCTCCAAAACCGAGTTACCAATATGATAATCATCTGATGCAAGAGATAGCTTTCTAGTGTAAGATATAGTAAAACATTTTTCAATATTGATACAAATTTTGTTGTCTGCATCCAAATCAGTCTTTAATAGAACGAATAAAACAGTGTCGTTGCGATCTGAGACCGATTTAAAAATCTTGAGATCATCTGCATACAACAAAGCTAAAGAGTATTCAACCGCCTGAGTAAGTGTTTTCTGTTTCTACTTCTAAAGTAGTGTTTTCCATTTTTTTACTCAAGCTACTCAGTTGCTGAAATGTATCATTCCCTAAAGCATAAATTTTGTTTTTGGAACGTTTATCTTTAATGACTTTCTATTGAACCACTTGTGTACTTGTGCGAGTTCCAAATTATTAGTTTCAGTTAAATGATTTAAATCATTCGAAAATTTGTATAATAATGTGTCATCTGCGAACATATTATGTATTGAACAATTATTATTAGTATCTTCAAGTGCATCATCAATATAAATTAAGAATAACAATGGTCCCAATGTATTCCTTGTGGTACGCCGCCCGTATTTGATAGTTCTGAAGCTAAAATATGGTTATTAATTTTTGTTACCTGTTTTCTATTATTCAAGTAATCTGTCCAGTGCTCTATTATTAATGCCAATTTATTTCAATTTCATTATCAATGTTTCTCTATCTATTGCTTCAAAAGCCCTCTGGAAATCGAGAAACACTGCCCTTATCACATAGTTTTCATCTAAAAGATTCTCGAAAAGATCTTTCCACTCATAAAGTATATTTTGAATGGCGGATTCACAACTTTGGCTTTTTTCGAAACCCTGATTGATTTACAATTAAGATGTTATTTGCTAGGATAAATTGCGTTAGATGCTTATATACTATATATTTTTTCCAATATCTTTTCAATAGTTACTAACATATTGATTGGCCTTAACTCGTCGGCACTAATTGTACCTTTTTTGAATCGGTATTACTGTAAATATTTTCAATAAAGAAGGTACCTGTCCAAGTTTCAGTGAGGTATTTATTAGGTTTAAGAGTGGCTTTTCAATATTAATGTAGGTATTCTTTAGAAACTCTGACGTTATATCATTTGAGCTTCCCTTGTTAGGTAATCGTCATTTGCACTCTGATTGCACTCACCCACTAAGTTATGTTTGTCAATATTCTTTTTTATAACGTTAATACTCTCAACAAAATACGAGTTTAGAGTATCTGCAATTTCTTTTGTATCAACCAAAACACTCTCATTAACTTTGAGTTTACTTATATTATTTTCCTTTTTCTCAGAAATTAGTTGGCTTAGGTGTATTAGTTGGCTAAGCGTATCCTAACAATATAATAACCCAAAATATCAATCTCAACATTTTTATTTTCAACTGATATTCTTGTCTCTGTTAGGCATACAAATTAAGTGGCTTAAAACAAAATTATATATTTCTTCAAATTTGGAGAGAAGATTTTATACATTTATTAAAATAATTGAGTCAATTATAAAAAAGCATTTTCACTAATATTTTCTTCCTGGTCCTCATCATAACTGTCCTTCCACTATTGTTTCTATATCCTAAAGATCTATATTCCTATAAATTATGTTTTTTAAGTCTTTTGCTTCATTACTTTTCCAGTATATCTAATATGCAAACCACTTCTTCGAGTTTCTGAATGGATTATTTGAGGGATTTTTCTTTTAGTCTGATGCCATTTAATACCACATAATCATGATTTGTAGAAGTTCTAGTTAATTGTATTCTCAATTGCTCTTTTAACTCTATACTGCACACTACTTCATCAAGCAGTATGTTCTGTTCAACCACTGCTGAGATGAAAAACTTAGAATTGAGGTATCGGTCCAAAATACTCCCAAAGTTCTGAGCCAGACATCAACCAAAATGAGATAAGATAGAGATAAAGAAGAGAGGCCCTAGGTAACTTCCCTGTGGTATTCGTGGGTATTCCAGATTTAACTAAGAAATTAGGGAAAGAAGTGGGTTTTTTTAAGGCATACCTACTTCTTTAGTGAGCGTCCAATGAGAAGCGAGTTTGTTACAAGTTTGCGTCATATTCTTATTCAGGGGCCAGTTCAGAATTAATCGTTCCTTTTTTCTTTGTTACGTGTAATTTGACAAAGAGCAAACGAATACTATATTTAGTACTTCTGAACTCACCGCAGTGTTGCTTAAAATTATGTCAGATTATACTTGACATATTCCTTTGCACTTTCATTGCTGCAGGTCTCATAAATTAGCACAAAGGGCACACTCTAGTTGGATAAGGTCGAATCTTTGAAAATCCATCTTAATTAGTGCTAATTTAGTACATTCGTGGTACGCCTAAAAAACTAACAATGATGTATTTATTACGAAATAACCACGGAAAAGTGCTGACACGCGGTCGATTCGATGTATGTATGCTAATTCAAGATTTGAATTAGCATACATACATCGAATCGACCGCGTGAGAACGGATTTGGTACTTCAAAAACCATGACCCGAAACGAATTAGTATCACATCAGCACAGAACTAACCCAAACTTACAAAAATTAACCCAAAAAAATATGTGCATGCGAATTCCGTTCTCGCGCGGTCGATTCGATGTATGTGTGCTAATTCAAGTCTTGAGTTAGCACTTTTTGGTGGTTATTTCGTAATAAATACACCATTGTTAGTTTTTAGGCGTGCCATGAATGTACTTAATTGGCACTAAATATGAGATACTAGATTTCCAAAAATTCGACCTTATTCAACTAGAGTGTGCCAGGTTAATCTTAAACTGGCACACATACACGTAATTCTTTAAAAAATAGAGTTATATATTTTTTTTCGTACTAAATTAGCACTAATTAGGCCCGAATTTAGTACTCTAGTTTTTCTGATGTGTGCTATTTTCGTTGTGCTAATTTAAGGAACCATAAAAGTACAAACGTTGTTAACATACACTTTAAAGTTCTTCTTTTGTCTGATTTAGAGCGTTGTAAAACATGTTGTGAAAAATCACTTTTTTATCGGTATAATGTCTGATTTGTATTGTCTACATTTGTTCTGCAACAATACTACTGCAAATAATAATAATAATAATAATAATAATACAAACTGGCTACACTGCAACCCACTAGATGCGCCAGCATGTCATCTTTTATTACTTTCCAACTTGTATTGATTACAATTAAGCTATCTTTTTCTATTTATGCGAGACAGGTCAATTACACCCACTTCACCTCACCCACTGTAGGTATATTGCTTCTGCTTGCATGCCCCAAGGAGCAAATATGTAGATTACAAATACTGCAAAGTTAATGTATGAGAATAGTTTTGGATTGCAGCCAGTACACTGCCATAAGTAGAATGATTGAATAGCTGAAGTGGTTATCAGTTGAGAAGGCTACTAGAAACGCGAACTTGTTATTTGTTTATAAGATAGTGAATAAGAAAGTTCCAAAATATTTGTGGAAAATGGTTGTCACTAGATTCGAAATTCACTAGCGAATATTACGGTCGAAAACAAATTTGAATGTTCACTTTGTTAATAGACATTTCTCGCAGGGCTCACTATTTTCCAAAGGGATCTGCCTGACAAAATTGAGAATTTAATAAATATTTATTGTTCAAGAATACAAAAAACTTATTGGCAAAGCTAACTTTACTTAAATTAAATTTAACAACTAAACCTAGAAGCAAAGACTAGTGGTTTGCTAGTGGACACAACAACAAAAATCTTGTATACAGGGTGTATATTTCAAATGATACTACTATTGCTATATCCGAAAAGGTTAAAGATACAGGGTCGGTTAAATTAGAAAAAAGTTGCCTTGTTAGATGCCCATTTAAGACTCGTTCACAGGGTTGCCGAATTCCTTTTAGTTTATGAAATACAGGGTGATTTCTAAGAAACGTACAAAAATATTTCATTATTTATTTCGAAAACTATTGATTTTTGAGACACAATTTAAATTTAAAAGTTTTATAATTTTTTTCGCTCTACAACATGGCATCTTCAAATTTTAAATCCGACGTTTCGTGATCGAGATACCATCATCAACTTCATTTTTTTAAATACGGACCTGGATTTTTTATGTCATTTTTAGGAAGCGCCCTTAATTCTCTTTCCAAAAATGACATAAAAAATCCAGGTCCGTATTTAAAAAAATGAAGTTGATGATGGTATCTCGATCATGAAAAGTCAGATTTAAAATTTGAAGATGCCATGTTGTAGAGCGAAAAAAATTATAAAACTTTCAATTTTAAATGTGTCCCGAATATCAATAGTTTTCAAAATAATTGACGAAATAATTTTAGGCCTTTTTTATAAATCGTCCTGTATTTCATAAACTAAAAGGACTTTGGCAACACTGTAAACAAGTCTTGAATGAGCATCAAAAAAGGCAACTTTTTTCTAATTTAACCGACCTTGTAGCTCTTATCGTTTCGGATATAGCCATAGTGGTATCACTTAAAATATACACCCTGTATATTCAGTAGGTAGTATGTCAGTCAAATTAAGATAAATAAGTAAGTAAAATTTAAAACAATTCAGAAATACACAGTTGAAAAATACACAATCTGCTAAGCAAAAATACAGATAAAAAACAATAAGTATATCCTAAAATAAATATAAAAAGTCCAAAAAGGTAGAATTTAAATTTGAGTAACTGTTGGCCGATAAGAGACAACTATTGGTTAAAAGAGAAAATTGAGATACTGATTGAGTGAATAGAAACCCTGCTTCACCAGTGCTCCCTTTAAGGTTTTCACGAAACTTGAGATATCTGATATGGTTCTGAAATTTAAAGGCAGCTGATTATAGATCTTTATGCTATTATAAATTATTGAATTTTGCACCAAAGCCGAATGGGGGATGGGGGGTCGGAAGAGGAATGTCCCCTTGCCCTTGGGGAGTCAAGCAAGCTGTCTGATGAATAGGAAACATGGCAATGTTTTTGTGTATTAAACTCGCGGTCTCCCATATAAAAAGGCATGGTAGGTAATGTTAAAATTTCATATTTGATGAAAAACGGCCTACAGAGATCTCTAGATACAATTGCTTTATTCGAGTGAGGACTTCATCCATGGGAGGCATGAGAGCCCATATGCCCTTAGCATATGCCCATATTTAACCTCAAAATATAAATGCCAAAAATAAATAGAAAAATGTACTTACATATCTTTAAGTTTTGTTGAAGCGGTCATGATTTATTTTTTGCACAGATATTTACCAATCAATAATTATAATAAATATTTCGGTTTAAATATAATATTCAACCACCAACACAAAATACAAGGAAACACGTGTTTTTGTTTATATTTATCTTTTTTTGACATTCGAATTGACATAACTTGACAGTGGGCTAGTGAGAGTGTGTTCGAAAATCGAAAGAATTGTTCTAGAGTGATGTCTAATCCGAAGTCTAATCTCACACACTTCCAGCTTGCTAGATTTCGCTCTAGGTTTCTAGCTCAGATTTCTAGACTTTAAGGCCCAGTTGTACAATCTTGGTTCAAAACAGAGTTCAGCTAAACTCGACTGGTACTTGAACTTCCCCATTTGAAATGCATTGCTGTCAAAAACGATAGAATTTGATTATTAGCTGACAGCAATGTATTTTAAATGGGAAAGCTCAAGTACCAGTCGAGTTCAGTTGAACTTTGTTTTGAACCGAGATTGTACAACTGGGCCTTAAGAGCAGGAGTGCCTTTAGAAATGGAGTGTGAAAGTAGAGTATAGTTGTTTGTCAGTGTTCTGACGACATCACTTGGAGTGCACTCTGGGTGCGCTCCTTCTGAACGTATTAAATGAAATGTGCATGAATTACGACGCAAGTTCAATACTACAATTTAAAAAATGGCAGTGAGAAGTGCACGTATTACGTTATTATCAAAAAAGGTCCTGCTGGACATCTTTCATCTGAAAAAAGTGCTTCAATAATCACAATGAAAATAACCTTAAATTAGGCAATCTACTGACCTGTCAAAAACGAAATTCAATATGGAAGTTCGGGTCAAGCACTGTGTTGTTTATTCTGTATGTTATTGATTCTGTCACATTCTGGACAAACGTCCAAATTTGAATTATCGGATTTTGTGTTTTTTTTGTGTGTTTAGGTATTGTGTTAATTACAATGCCAGCGATTTGCATTGTAATTGGATGTGGAAGTCGAGGTAACAGGGATAATGTGAAATTTAATTAAGTTCCTGCTATTTTAAATCATTGGCTTTTGATCTACAAATATGAATTATCAAAACAACGCAGGGCTTTATGGATTGCTGCTAAAAGCTCGATTTTCCCCTAATAATAATAGGTACCTTAAGATATTCACTCTCCATCTCAGAACTTATTAATAAATTAAAAAATACGTAGAAACACTATAAACACTATAAAATTCACTTTGAAAACAACAAGGGCCAGAACACTAAAAAATACGTAGAAATACTAAAGACTATAAAATTCACTATGAAAACAACAATGACCAAAACCAAAACCAATGAAAAATACGCAGAAACACATAAAATTCACTTCGAAAGCAGCAAGGGCCAGAACACAAATGCTCTCCTTATGAACATCAAACGTCACCGGGTGGTCACCGGCTTGTCACCGCAATATTTGACTCGAACGGCCATTATAAAATCACGTGATTGAGATTGCCTAATTCACGTCCAAAGCCTAGTACGCTAGTACTCATAACTGCGAAATTCGCATTTTTTTGACATTGCGTTGACAATTTGACGTTTTATGCGTGTATCAAACGTCAAATTGTCGAAGCAATGTCAAAAAAATGCGAATTTCGCAGTTATGAGTACTAGGCTAAACGCGGTAAAAACCGCGGTGTTTTTCAACCCAGGGGTGCGTTCAAGGACGGCAATGCTAATGCCAAAACCTACTTTTCCCCCTCCACCGGTAATGCCGAATCACGTAAAGTGTGTTTTTTTTTTTAAAGATAAAAGTCAGAATGACATTATGTTGGCAATACAATGTAAAATTGTCAATGCTTTCAAATTTCTTATGTAGAAAAGGCTTGTGTTGCCAACATAGTTACTAGATTTTTGACTTGGGGAATTATCTTTAAAAAAAAAAATACACTTTAGGTTGGAGCCGAACTTGAACGCAAAATGCCAATTTTGGCTTGGCTGTAGCCATTCCTGAACGCAGCCCAGGGCTGCGTTCAGATTGCACGTCGCTTGTCGCCCGAGCGCGCTCTGACCGTTCAGATTGCTTTGGGTAAAATTTACCCAGCCTTTCAGATTGTCAGTAGATTTTTACCTGACGACACCCCGACGCACACTTTTGCATCCCATAAAATAGTAAGATAAAATTTGCCCCGCATGCGCGTTTGTTATGTTTATGTTCTAACCAATAATAAAGGCAAATTGTAAATATTATTTTTGGGAGTTATGGCGAGTTTATCCAACAGATAAAATAAAATAGGAAATAAATTAAAATAAGAATTAAGGGTTAAGAGGTATTAGAGAGATATCGGTAAAACAGATAGCGCGTATGGGCGGTAATAACGTCAGGAGTTATTTTTTTAAAGTAAAGCGGTATCATACTTTCAAATTAGAGTTATCGGAAAACAGTTTAACGTAAAATTTGCCTGTTCGCATTCGTTATTTTAAAACCGTAGTCTAACTTGTACCTTGTTTTGATTTGATTTGTGTTGTCTGTTGTTCATGGTCAGGGACAGAGGATTTGCTTTTTTACTATTTTTTGAACAATCCATATTCACTTGAATACAGCAAAAATAATAAAATAAACAATAAACATAACATAACCCATTATTCCACGGCGTTATTTTTAGACGTTATTCGAAATAGCGCCTAACGTAAATGCTGGGTAAATTACGTTAAGCGGTAACGTTATTTTAGTACGTAGTGTTAAAAATCGAATCGCGCATAGGTTTAATGTCAAACGTTGGCGCTAATACTGGGTCGAGTTCAGAAATAACGCACGGGGTGCGAGTGCGATTTTATGGGTGTGCCTGAATTGACAATTGGCCATTGGGCCCATAGCACCGTCTAGCATTTTTGAACAGCTAGGGCGTCGCACCGGTGTCACACTCACACTGGGTGTGTCATTCCTGAACTCGCCCCTGCATGACACTATTTGGGTTACCGATATCTCTCTATTATTTTATATGTGATAGTTCTACGAAAAAAATTAAAATAAAATAAAATAAGAGTTGATTATCTTTGAGTTTTCTTTTTTCTTATTTTACAAAAATGTTAGAATCACGAACACAGTGAATTTTGAAAAGGCAACAAAATCAAAATCAAAGCATCCCATAAATAGTGATGTTATGAGGAGAGAATGGGTGCATTCAGGCGGTCTCAGCAGCTAAGCTCAGCCACTCAGCAGGGACTCAATTCTCGAAACCAAGGAACACCGTTCTCAGAAAAACATTGCTCTGTCATTGTCAGTGTTATGCCGGACGACAAAGACAGAACGTGCGTTCCAATGAGAATGCTGCTCCCCTGTTTCGAGAATAAAGTTCCCGCTGAGTAGCTGAACTAAGCCGCTGGCACCGCCTGAATATACCCAATGCGTCTTGGCCGTTCAGGGTCCTTATTCGTGAAACAGGGGAGCAGTGTTCCCAGGAGAACGAGTGTTCTGTCTTTGTTACTCATATTATCAGTTGCATATCGTTGAGAAAGACGGAATACTCATTCTCCTGGGAACGCTACTCCCCTGTTTCAAGAATAAGGATCCAGATTGGGCGAATCGCCAGGCACACTCGGAGTGCACTCTCTATCGAGTACGCTCTGCACTGGACGTCGCCGAGACTCTTCAATCTGAACGCGCCCCAGGATTCGGGTAATTTGGGCGCACTCTGCGCACGTCAACTCTCGATTTCTGAACGATTCGGGCGTAACGCTTTAGAGTTACTCTAGGGTCACTTTACACCCAGAGTGCTATTTATAAACACAACTCAGCAGTTTTTTTTAGTGCTTACGACTTCGTATTGTTGCACCATGCAGTGAGTGCAGAACTCACGTGTTTCCTAGAATACCCAAGTTGCATCTGCTGGCCCTGCAAACAGATCTAAACTCCAATTTTCATTCTCATAAAAATGTTAAAACGTTAAAACTCTCTATTTTGGAACATAAAAGTGTTCAAGCAGATGCAAATCGAAAACCCCTCATAAATTAACCACGTCAGAGAACTTTCAAAAATACAAATAGGTTATGTTATCTTTGTATATTTGAATTTGAAAATTCTACATTCTATTAATTTTGTATATTGTACTACTGTCAGCTTATTTAGAGTTTAATTGAATAATACACAAGGTAAAAAAAATGTCTTGGATAGCCGACAACTCGCTGACAACATTCCAAAAGTTCTGCATAAAAATACTAAAATGTGGCCCCATTCCCGAGCACGTAGCAATCATAATGGACGGTAACAGACGCTACGCCCAAAAACAGCACGTAGAAAAAGCAGAGGGCCATTCGAAAGGCTTTGATAAGCTATCCGATTGTCTCAGTTGGTGTCGAGAATTGGAAGTCAAAGAAGTAACGGTTTACGCGTTCAGTATTGAAAATTTCAAACGTTCCAAAGAGGAAGTTGACCAGCTGATGCAATTAGCTAGAGAAAAATTCGCAAGACTTTTCGAGGAACAGGATAAGCTCAATGAACATGGGGTGTGTATCAGGGTTATTGGGAATTTAGCTTTGTTGCCAGAGGATTTGAGGAAATTGATAGCTAAAGCGATGCTAATGACTGAACATAATAATAAAGCTATTCTTAATGTTGCCTTTTCATATACGTCAAGGGATGAGATTACCAACAGTATTCAGACTATTGTAGAAGCAGCTAAACAAGGTATACTTAATTTTGCATTTATAATTCATAATTTACTCTACTGCACTTGACCCTTGCCTGGTTTATACATCTTCAGATAAACTTCCTGGTAACTGTCTACAGTCTACAAAATAAAACCAATCTGTTATCCTATTTGTCTTCAAATAACTGTCTGACCAATGAATAGGATTATTACTTCATAGTTTGTCAGGTGATGAAAAAAATTAAAATATTCGAATGTTTATTGCAGGTAAAATAGAATTGGATGAGATCAGTGAAGAATTGATATCGCAATGCCTCTACACAAAGTCAAATCCGGATTTACTGGTCCGAACTTCTGGAGAAGTCAGACTTAGCGATTTCTTGTTGTGGCAAACATCTGACAGCCAAATCCATTTCACTGACGTATTGTGGCCGGAGTTTGGTATCTGGCATTTGTTGGGGGGCATCTTCAAATACCAAAGGGCTCACAAACAAATATTTAAGCTACAAGAGGAGGAAACAAGTAGGGAGGTTGTTAATGAGAATGTTAAGTTGTTTTTGAATGAATTGAGTGAGAGAAGATTGAGGCAGTTGGAGATTTATGCAAATGCATAATAGTTAAGGTGATTGGGGTAATAATTATATTGGAATTTTCAGATTATATTATGTACAACCATTATTATTGTATTGTATTGTGAAAACTTAAGTGGTAGGTCATTTTAATTTTATGCAAATGCGTAATAGTTAAGGTGGTTGGGGTAATAATTATATTGGAATTTTTAGATTATATGTACAACCATTATTATTGTATTGTATTGTGAAAACTTAAGTGTTAGGTCATTTTAATAAGGGTTGTATAAAGTATAAATAAAGACTTATACATTCATATTATTTAAAAAATATATTGTTTATTGTAGAAGGGTAGAATTGAGAGTGGAATGGTTTAATTAGTCTTTGTAAAGCATCTTAATGTGATTTATTCTGTGAATAAAAAACTATAAAATGAAATCGATTTACCAAGTATTACAAAATTTATAGGGTGATGGATTTTTATTATTAATTTTTTGCTGTGAGCTGGAAAATGGTGTATGTTATTTGCAACAAACATTTTTAGTTTTTTTTTTTATTTCACACTCGACTCTAAAATTACAAGAAACTGTAATTCTCAATCAAATTCTGCACAATAATACTTCCATCAATGATAAGTTTTTCAATGACTGATTTTAGGCATAGAAGCTAATTTTGTTTCTTCTTTCCAATTTTCTGAATTTTTGTGGTCTTATTTATGTTTATTTATTTCTGAATAAACAATTTTTTTCAAAAACCAGTACCTACATAAATAGGAAAACAATGTTCACAATTTTATGCTAGCTCTCAGAAAAATTAAATTTAAAAACAATAAAAATGTGTACCTTAAATAGCACCAAAGAAAATAACAATATACATTGTTAAGAAATAACAAAATATCATACCTATAACAACAAGCAGATAATATTTTATTAGTCGTGAGTAATGTGAGTATGGTAAAAGTGGCAAAACAAAATGTTCAGTAGTCCCCTTCAACCTGATGATGACATGTCTATCTACAGTAGTTATAGGGAAAACATGGAGATCTCTTTTAAGGTCTAATATTGAAGAAATAAAAATTATACCATGTTATGTAAGCTTTAGAATTGACGAATTATTTCTAAAAAGTTTATTGTTCAAATGTTACCTATTCATTAATTAATTTGCAAGGTGGAATATTATAAATCCAGATGTCTTCAGTTATTGTTATTATTCTTATCTAAAAAAAATAAATAACATAAATCTTAGGAACATAGGCGTATCCAGGGGGGGGGCTGCCGGGCTGCAGCCCCCCCCCCCCCAAGGCTAGTCTAGACTTTTTTTAGCGTATTTTATGTGATATGTACATTTTTTTGTATAAAAAAAAATAGAAATAAAATTCATTTTTCTATAATAAGGTTTTTCTATGGCGGGTGCCTAATGCAGCAAGGGAATCAGTGCTTCATCTTAATTATCCTGCTTGTCCGAAATACTTCCTTCCTCAGGTGCTCGATTCTCGTTTCAGAGAGTAGAGCAGTAGAGCTTCTCGGTAGAACGCATGTTTTGTCCTTGCCAACGTAGGTAATCGAAAAGTAAAAGAGAATGATAAAGACGAAAAATTTGTTCTCTCGGGGAGCTCTACTCTATAATTCTCTATTGGCGTTTCTATTGATTTCGGAAAAAGGAGAAGAAGACAGCAAGTGCCTTAGCGATAGGGATAACGATCTTTATCCGGTACAGAGTGCCAGCTCAGGGTAGGTATAACTATTCTTGAAACGAAGGACCAGCGTTCTCGTGAAAACGATTTCTGTGTCTTCCTCAATGACATGCAAAAGATAATATCATTATTATGACTAGCACAGACGGAAAAGCTATTCTCATGAGAATGCTGCTCCCCTGTTTCAAGAATAAGGGCCCAAGAGAGAAGGTGCTCCGTGAACAAAATTTCTCCTCCTTATCAAAAAAAAGCGAATAAGTGGCCCGATGCGAAATTTTTTTTCGCCTTGCAAAAAAAAATAAATGGCGCGTAACATTTGCGTATGTTACAGGTCATCAAACGAATTTTCAAACTGCTGCGAAAATGCCGGATAGAAAAGGGACGTCACTTTCCCAAACATGCGAGGATGCCGAAGTTCTCATTAGTAAACCATTCCAAAATATGGCTGATAAAAAACCTGGGCTGGAACTCTGTAACGGATAACGATCAATATCTCTATCTCTAGTGGCGTCCCCTCTCTATTGATTTCGATAAGAGAGAAGAAGACAGGCAAGACAGCAAGTGCCATAGCGGTAGGGATAACGATCTCTATCCGTTAAAGAGTTCCAGCCCTGGCTACCTATAGTAACATGATCCTTAAATATTTCGTCATTTCTAATGTGGCAACCTGATGCGCATGAATGCTTTAGTGAGGATGTGAAAACAGACTATTGTGCGCAGCTTTTTTTTTTTTTTTGGTTAACACTTTTTGTTAACAGAGCCCCCCCAAACCAAAATCCTGGATACACCAATAACCGAGAATGAACGATATTTTGCAAGATTTTAGTCAGATTATTAAATAAATTAATAAATAAAAATTAAAAATTTGAACGAAAAATCACGTGATCGAAAACGCTCTCTGATTGACTAAAGCCGATTTCGACGTTTTTGTTGCCACATTTAGAAATTCGAATAAGTTAATAAGGATTATACCTATCCTTTATTTTTTTTATAATGTAGTAAAGGACGAAAATAGTTTCTAGCTAGTGAAATGTGTAATGATTTACTAATGAGAAATTTTGGCTTCCTCGTATTTTTGTTGATTTTCTGGTTTGTGACGTCACAAACCAGGTTCGCCTTTTCGCGCCAGTTTGAAAATTCGATTTTTAAATAATTTTTTTTTCAAAAATAAGCGTTTTTTTCGGAAAAAAAGTATACAGAGATAGTATTAGAATGACTTAAAGAATAATTTAAAGATGTTTTTGAAAAATGTGAAAGTGGCCCATTCCGTTACAATACCTTTTACCAATATATCCGGATGTTCTTGCAACAACTTCTAAATAATTACTCTCCATTTTAAAATGAAAATTTTAGCCAACAAATTCTTTTACTTAAATTATCACATAAAACACAGAACAAACACTACTGCAGAGCACTAATGAAAAATAAAATTCTACCTGACCTCTCAGTTGCCCTGGGCGGCCATATTGGGTCACGTGGTTTGGATAGGCCTCGATGGGATTAATTACCTCTCTCTAACATTACCAAGCAGTGAGACAAAAGATGATTTTGTATCGTTAGAATATATATAAAACTATTTTGACAGAATAACTGAAAGTTAACTTCTGGAATGACGTTATCTACTTCTGGTAATTCCAGAAGTTATAGTCTAAGAGCCAGCGCCGAAAAAATTCTCTGAATTTACTAAAGGTAGTTTTTGGACAGTTGATTACAGTATTTACGTACATGAACATACCGCGGTCAGTCAAGCGAAACTTGGGACAAGGACCCAGAGTGTCTTGTTAAAGGTGTCGAGAAAACTTGGGTAATGCAACGAATTTACTAAAGCTGAAAATCGTTATACATACTCTATATATCATATAAATAACAGTAGTGTTAGTCAGTCAGTTGAATAGCGGGACCGTGCAGGTCAGTCAGCCCCAATAAATGTAAAAATTTGCAAAAAATATTAATATTACTGAAGAAACCTATTAATTTATACTTCAACCTACAATTTTGAATTGTCACTGTCACGCTGTCACTCTAAAAAGAAAATAGTCCTATTATTTTTTTTACATAAATTGGGGCTGAACTACCTCAATGGGGCTGGATGACCGGCCCAGTGCCGCTATTCAACTGACTGACAAACATCACTGTTATTTATGTGTTATATATATTATGTATAGCGATTTTCAGCCTTAGTAAATTCGTTGCATTACCTAGCTATCTCGACAACTTTAACCAGACACCCTAGCTCCTTGTCCCAAGTTTCGCTTGACTGAAAGTGCATTTTATTCTATTTACGACCACCGGTCACAATTCTCGACCACTTTAGGGTTGGTTCTCGACCGCTTAAAAGTCACATAAGAAGTCACTCCTTCATATATTTTTAAAGGGTGGTCGATAAAAGAAAAAGATCGATCTGGTTTTCGACAGCCAATTTTCTAGGGTGGAAGGGTGGTCGAGAATAGACTAAGATCAATTTGGTTTTCGACCACCAATTTTCAGCAATTCTTTTAAAGAACATTTTCATAATTTTTCAATTTAAAATGGTGGTCGCTGGTCGCAAACCAAAATTTAGGTTCTTGAAGGCTATTTATAAACAATAAACAAAAATTAAATTTTTTAAAGTCCTTCTTTAACTTATTTTTTCAAATAAAAGTAATAGCTTCCGCATTTTTGTTTTCGACCAAGCAGGCGGTCGGAAACCAAAAATCGTCAATTTTTAAAAGCTGGTTCTCGACCACCAAATAATAACGTGAGAATAATCATTAAATGCACTTTCTTCTTGGTAATTTCAACATTTAACCCTTCCTCTACCCTAAAGAAAATATTTCATCCATTAGCTTAAAATAAAACATAAGTTATTCACTATTTTCAGATACGATGCCACTAAGCAGTGCAACAAATTTAGATTACACGTGGGTTATCCGTAGAACAAGCCAGACTTTACTGATTTTTCGCCGGGAAACTGATACGTGTTTTTTAGTAATGCCGCCTATTTTGAATGGTTCAAAGTGATTGAAAACTAATTCAACATTCCATAGCAAGGTTTGCCGGTTATTCTATTTATTATTGGCCCCTAAATAGCTGAATGGTCGAGATTTAGAGCAGGTCGGTGAACAGGCACATTCACCCTATGTTTATGTACGTAGATACTGTAATCAACTGACCAAAAACTGGCTTTAGTAAATTCAGAGAATTTTTTCGGCGCTGGCTCTCCGGCTATTAACTTTACTTATCTCTGTCGCAATCACTGATCCGCAATAGTTTTTTAATACCCGCCCTTAAGGCGGTTACACACGGACGTGGATGTCTTAATACATATACGTGCATACATCAACGTGCAAACAACAACGTGCACGGCGTTTTGTACAGACGCTCGCACAATACTGCAGTCTTGCTATTCTTGCTACAGTATTCCGAGTGTGCATACAAAATTGCACATTCAAAAACGCGACGGTATTTTGCATACACATGATGTTTTTGTTTGCACGTTCATGTATGTGCGTTCATGTTTTCAGACATCCACGTCCGTGTGTAACCGCCTAAAGCGCCATGCACATTTTTGGTTGCACGTTGATGTATGCACGTATAAAATCTGTTTTTTTTTTTAAAGATAATTTCCCAAGTCAAAAATTTAGTAACTATGCCTTTTCTACATAAAAAATTTGAAAGCATTGACAATTTTACATTGTATTGCCAACATAATATCATTTTGACTTTTATCTTATAAAAAAAAACACACTTTATGTTCTAAGACATCCACGTCCGTGTGTAACCGCCCTTAGGTGGATTTTGAGCAATTTCAGTTATTTCCTTCGATTAAACAAATCACCTGTTGTCTCTCTCTAACATTATCAAGTAGTGAGACAAAAGATGTTTTGATTAGTTAGGTTAGAGATAATCATGACAGTAATTAATGACTTTAACATTTCAAAATGACATAATATTTGAAAAACCAGTTTTTAAATTATTTCGATATTAAAACCAAAAAATGTATCACAGTACTGGGCAAACTGAATTATATGCAGTAGAAAAAGTGCCCTTTAAGTGGGTTATAAGCAATTTCAGTTATTGTTCAGACGAAACAGGCGATTTTATTCAATCATCAGCATTTCCATTGGAAACAAAAAGTGAAAAATGGTGCCTCAGAATTTATCCAGGAGGACTGGATGCGGCGTGTAAAAATTACATTTCCTTGTACCTAATGTTGGTATCCAGCTACAAAACAACAGAAGTGAAGGCCACATTTCAATTCAGCCTGATAAATGCCGACAATATGAAAATCATTACAATGAAATTTCAACAGCCTCAAACTTTTGTCCAAGGAAAAGAATGGGGTTTCAGAAAGTTCATTAAACGCAATTATTTATTCAATAAATCTTATCAGCTCCTACCAAATGACGTAATTACTATATCATGTGACGTTACTTCTTTGGATCCTAATAAATTCAAAATTGCACCTCAATCCGATCAAATTGAAAAGACATTATTATCAGTTGACTGCGAGCTATCTAAACATTTTGAAGACTTATTCGAAAATCAGAAACTCACCGACATTACTTTTTGCATTCAAGGCAGGCAACTTAAAGCCCATAAAACGATTTTGATTTCAAGAAGTGAAGTGTTTCGAGCCATGTTTGAAAGCGACATGGAAGAAAGCTTAACCAACAAAATAGAAATAACTGATATTGAATATAACGTCTTTAAAGCAATGCTAGATTTTATCTACACAGACAAAACTCCAAATTTTAACATGGCTAGAGAGCTTTTGGTGGTTGCGGACAAATACGCTGTGTATCGCCTAAAAGCCTTGTGCGAAAAAAATATATTTACCAATATAAGCACAGAAAATTCGGCAGAAGTTTTAATTTTAGCAGATTTACACAGCTGTGACTATTTAAAGTGCCAAACGTTAGATTTTATTGTTACTTTTGCCAAAATCATTATACATACGGAAGGATGGAAGAGCTTGGAGAAAACTCATCCACGTCTTATTGCAGAGGCCTATACGGAAATGGTTAACAGGCAAATTAAATGAAATCTTGTATAATATTCCGTTATTGTTAATTTTATAATTTAGTTAGGGTAACATTATTGACGAAACATTTTCCTTAAATCAAGATGTTGATGGGAAAGAGGCACGTTAAATGAAAATGTTGCTAAATATATTGTGATTTATTGTTAAAAAGTTTTGTAATTTGTTGTTAATTTTTGTATCAACAAATATTTGGAGATATTTGGTTATTACTCTGAGGGACTTTTTATGTTACATTCATATAAATAAAACCTCCTATTATATATGTTACTGTAAATGCCCGAAATTCGGTAAAACCTAGGATAAACGCGCTAAACCTAGGATTTACTAGTTAACTAGTTATTTTGCTTTCATCTCGGACTTTTACCGGACACAAACAGTGAATCTTAGGATTTACCACACCGCATTAGTAAAAGTACGAATGACACTGATACGTACCGTTAACGTTACAGAAATCGATATCGTGAAACCATTGGCGGATCCAGGATTTTCTTCAGGGGGGGGCGCAGGCTTAAAATTATCAACAATGATTTCTTGAAAATTTATTTTTACTTTACTTATACGTTAAATATTGTAGGTACAGGGTGGTCCAATTTGGACACTTTTGATATGAAACGTCAATTTCTGAGCCAGATACAAAAAAATGAACCCCCCACTCTGCTGACGCTCAAATTTCATGAAATTTTCATTGGTGCAAACACTGCAAACCGCCTTTTGATACCCTCAACCGTTTTGCCGCTAGAGGATGTTTCTCGATTTTGAGCAATAAGGTGAAACCTCTCTAACTTTTTTATTTATGAAAATAAATGATTTCTGTATAAACTTTATAGAGGTACTTTTCCAAGCAGAATTCAATGTCATTCTCAATTATTTTAATTTGTCTTATTTTTTTTAAATAAAAAACCCTATTAATAACTCATTGATAGCTCTATCATTGCTTATTTTAATGATACATATAAGGTTTAATAGGTCTATCTGTAACAGTTTTCTAGAAATAAAAATTATAGATGTTTCAATCAGTAGAAACAATTTGTTAGAAGAAGACCTATCTCATTTTCCTTATATAAAGTCCTCTTCTAACACATTGTTTCTTATAACAAAAACAAATATAATTTTTTTGCTGGAAAACCGATTTAAATCAGTTATTAATATACAGGGTGTTCCTAAATATCATGTACAAACGGAAGCGCGTGATTCTTTGGTTTATTTTATGACTAAAATTTCTGATAAACATAGTTCCGCAAACGCTTCGTTACCTATCTACGGGGTGTTAAAATTTCAATGTATTCATATTGAAAATGAGCAGGAATATGGCGGCGAGGAGTCTGTAGATTGCTATTGAAAATGAGCAAGAATATGGCTGCGGGACCTCTATTGTCGCCACCTCAGAGTAACACTACATAAATAGAGAGGGCAAGTCATTCATAAAATCGTTTGGTTTCTGCGGCCAACAATCCTAAACGACAATAGTGGATTAATGAATGAACTACATGGAGTGGGGATAAGATTGCGGACAATCCGGACCAATTACAAACAAAACCCCTTTGACATTTCTTACTATGAATACTAGAGCGCATTCGCGATTATGGTCGGGCTTGCTCTGGCAATATTTGCATCCTTCTTTATCTGGTTATCTTAACAAAGATAAAACGATTCAGGTGGGCGTTCCTTGACGAATACAACCAGGTTCTGAGATTTTAGGCAGAGTTGCCATTTTCAGCTAGCACAAATTCTTATTCAAATTTTATCGTGATAATAGATTATTATTTTATATAATAATTATTCCTATTCAATTTTGGAAAGCACCGCGATATTTTATGTTATAATTGTTTATACATATACCTATCTAGGTTTTTATATTTACGATATATTTTTTTCAATTTCCAATTCCATTTTCCCTGCAACTTAAGACAATTTATAAATATGGCACATCTGCAGTAAGTGTCCGCAAGTGATCTTAGAATGTGAGTCAATGTTTGGGGCATTTTTTAATCATAATAAACCTATCTATTTCATGTGTTAATCTGAGGTCGCCACTGTAGGTTTATTCAGTAACTTTAGTTTCATCTAGCTAATTACAGAGAAATGTTTTTTAATTTTTTTCTCGATAAGAGTCGGTGATACGAAAAAACTACAAGAGAACAAAAAGTTTCTAAATGAGGCATACAAATTATTTTGTTTCTAAGAATCGACCAGCGGCGCACCGCGAAAAAGTTCAGGGGCAGAAAAGGGGGCATGACCCCTGAAAAAACATCACCTTGTATATTCTGGCAAACGTTTGACACGTGCAATCATTCAGCTCTTATTGCGTAACCTAGATTCCAAATTTGAACTAAATCCCTCAAAAATTGCAGGAGCTATAAAGAAAAAGCTAAAAAAAATAATAAAATTTCAACACCCTGTAGATCGGTAACAAAGAATCACCTCTTTTCGTTTGTATATGATATTTAGAAACACCCTCTATAGGGTGTCCGGTGTCCCATCAAAACAATCGGACTCTGGTTAATATCTCGAATTCGGGAAAAAATAGAAAAAAACTGAGAAAGTCACTGGAGATTCTCTAACCACAAAACGGTTGAAGATATAAAATTTGAGCCTCAGAGTGGGAATTGATTTTTTTCTATCTCGCTCAAAAATTGGACAACCCTGCACATATCAAAACACCGAAACACCGAAAATAACAAATGAAAATACCTATTCCAAATAAAAATATAACACATTTATCGGATAAAAACAAAACAAATTTAACAATAATTGTTCAAAATGTTGACCATTTACTTCAATGCAAAGATTGCACCGTCGGGTCATTGACTCGCGAACCCTTTGGAATATTCCGGGAATAGCTTCTACATGGGTACAACTCGCCAGTATCCTTGCTAACAGATCTTCCTCATTACGAACAGGTGCTTCGTAGACTAAACTTTTCAGTCAATGACCCGACGGTGCAATCGTGGCATTGAAGTAAATGGTCAACATTTTGAACAATTATTGTAATCCATAATTGATTTGTTAATAAAGCAAAATTAATAAGTAAATAGTGATTTAATTATTGCGAAGAATGAAAACAGTTTTTTTGCTCTACAGCCCAAATGGCTCATTTGCGGACATATGTTTATATAAACAAAAATGCTTGTTTTGATGTCCCCTTTTTGGGACACCCTGTATATAAAGAAGAAGTAGAAAAACAAGTAAAAAAGATGCTGGATCAAAACATAATCAGAGCAAGTAGTTCAGTCACCGATTTGGGTAGTCCCGAAGAAAGCCGACGCCTCTGGAAGACAAAAACTAATAGTAGTTTGCGATTTTAGGGGCCCTAATACAAAAATCTTAGGTGACAGATACCCATTACCCAACATAACGGATCTCTTGGACAAGCTAGGACGCTGCTAGTATTTCACCACCTTAGATTTAGCTAGCGACTTCCACCAGATCCAGATGCATGAGAACGACACCGAAATATCGAAAAAACCGCATTCAGCACAGAGAACGGGAATTATAATTTCTTGCGCATGCCATTTGATTTGATGAACGCGCCGGCTACATTCCAGAGAGTTATAGATAACATTCTTCGCGGTATACAAAATGAAAAATGCCTCGTCTACCTAGACGATATCATTGTGTTCTCAAGTTCCCTCCAGGAATACCTGGAGAAACTAAGAAGTGTATTCCAAGAATCCAACTTTAAAATTCAACTAAATTAGTCAGAATTTCTAAGGAAGCAAGTGGCCCGTCTAGGACACGTAGTAACAACAAATGGCGTCAAACCTAATCCTGACAAAATTAAAGCTATCCAGGAGCTCCCCATTCCAGAGACGACGAAACAAATCAAAGGATTTTTAGGTTTATAAGAATATTATAGAAGATTCATAAAGAACTTTGCAAAAATCACAAAACCTTTGACTTTACTCGACCATCGAAGTAGAGGCCACTAATAAATATTTTAGGCCTTATATCTTTGACAGAAAAATAAACCTTGTAAGCGACCATAAGCCTCTGCAATGGCTATTTTCTGTGAAAGAGCCTGGCTCTAAATTATTAAGATGGCGAGTAAAACTAGATCAATATGACTACAACATTATATATAAAAAGGGCAAATTAAACTCTAATGCATAGACGCCTTGTCTAGAATGGCATTACACACCAAAGAGACAGAAGATATTTCACCACCTAAAGAATACATTAAGCGTTTTAACCAAGAACTAGAAAAATCAAACGAAAATATTGACTGCATGTCCACCATGGCACAAGCAGGTGAAAATATCCAAGATAATGAAGAAAAAGCCAAAGAGATCCTTGCTGAAATACCAAACGACGACACTATGACAATACATACAAATGAGAGCGAATAAGATTCGATTGTGGGTATCCCTATATGATATACCGGTAAACTATGGATCCAATCAACTAATAATTTCCTCTGTTTTACACTCGCCCGGGCCCGCGAAACCCAAACTTACTATTCTCTCCGAGAAAAAACGCCGATTTAATATTATCCAATTATCGATAAACAACTTTGATCAAGACATATTGAACTTTGTTAAAGAAATTATTGTTTCTGATAAACAATATCATCTTTACTTTGAAACAGCAGAATTGTACGAGCCTATTTGCGAAGTGATAAGAAAAATCTTCAATTGGCCATCATTAAAAATGAGACGATGCTTGAAAAGATTGATCGACGTCACTGACAAAAATGAGAAACGCACACAAGTCAAAAACTAACCACCGTGGAATCGACGAAACCCTGCAAAAAATCAAAGACAAATATTATTGGCCAAATTTAAAAAACTCAGTACAAACTTACATCAACAATTATTTTGAAATTTGTTAAAGGAGGAAGTACGAACGTCATCCCATCAGAATGGAAATGAATATCAAACCAACAGCATCAAAACCTCTTGAAGTAACACATAGACACATACACACTAGAACAAAAATAGATAGTTTCTCGATCGAAGTATGCTCAAGCCTATGCTCTCCAATCTCTCTTGGTTACTGAGATTGTCGACAAACTTCTAATATTTTTCTGTCATCATAGTGTGCCAACGCAAATCATTTTAGACAATAGAACAGAATTTAAGAATAGCGTAGTAACTGAACTATTGGGCCTACATAAAATCAAATTACATTTCTGTTCCCCAAATCATCCCCAATCTAACGGTATGGTTGAACAGCTACACTCTACATTGGCTGAACATATCCGTTTACTCATTAATGATA